ACTGTTATTGCTTTAGATAAAATCTTTCACCCCTTCCAAGGTTTTATATCATTTCACACTTACAGGAAAAAGTCCCAAAAGCTTTTCGAATGGGATTCAGCCCCAGCTGCTCTATCATAAATCTAGAGAATTAAAACGTGCAGTAAGACAGTTTGGCTAAACAACATCTTAATTTCCTTCACGTGAAGCAGCTTGTATAAACAGGAACAGCAGCAGGGATGGGAGCTTGCTCAGGACAGGGAAATGGAGAGACAGGGAGAGCAAAGCACGAGGAAAATCAGCACTGGAGGAGGCTGAAGGAGAACATGGGGGAGCCAAGGAGAATTATCAAAGTCTTTGGGGTCAGAGAGCATGGGAGGGAAGGAGAGAGGGAGGATAGAGGAACATTCACCTCAGCCATACATGGTGAGATCACCAGTTCCTGATTATGAAAAGCCCCCCAGAGCCACAGGAGATCCCACTGGTAGTAGGAACACAGCAGCATAACCTGGCATCAACTGTGGGACTCCAGGAAGAATTTCGATTTTGCCATCTGGGAACAAATTTAGAAATTACTTTGCAGTCTTCCCAAACCAATCCCTCCATGATTTAAACAAGTCTCTCCCTGAATCCTGATGGAATTCCTCCATTTCTGACTTGATCCATGCAGGCATGCTGCCAGCCCACGGTGGGTACTGGGTGTGAGTGACTGCTCAGTGTATTGCAGATTTTAACAGCCGTGCTAGTGAGCTTTCCATGAACAGCAAATTCAGGATTAATACCAACTCCAAATGTAACATGTACACACCCGGCATGCAAACTGTTCCTCACTCTTGTACAACCAGCTAAGCTGGCAACTGGCCATTCTTATACAAATACTGAATACCAGAAAAAAGAAAAAGAATTAAGAATCAAGAAGGTCTTACTTCTCAGTCAATTAATCAGAACCATACAACAAAGATACTGTGAGATAAAGATACTTTCTTTACAGGGAAAAAAAATGTTACTCCTGATGGCTAACGTTTTCTCCTGATGCCAGCAACCAGATGGCAGCTAAATGATGAGCTGTGGAAGAAAACTAGGAAGAGTTTTCCTTTCTCCAGCTGACATGGCCATTAGGTTTGCCCTGCCAAGGTGCTCAATCTGCTTGTCTCACAGAGCACAGCCCCAGGGCTGGGAGGGAGCAGCTCTACTCTCAGCTGGACCCTATTCCTAACAGCAACACTTCCTTGTGACCCAGCAGTGAGATGGAGCTGTTCCACAGCCACCACAGCCTTGGGATGCAGGGCTCTCCAGCTGCACTGACTCTTCCAAGGACAGTTTCTTGGAGCTTTGAGAGTCACTTTTATTGTAGCATCTGCATTAAGTTCTTCCCTGTCAGATCAAATACAGTGATTGTATCAGCCTGTGCAGGTACAGTTCCAGGATTGTTCCTGCTCTCAGTTTCAGATCTGGCATTTCTATCCCAGCACTGCCAAAACTGGTGCACGTGGAGAAGTCAATTGTGTGTTTTCCTTCTCCACAATGTCTCAAAGGGAACAGAACGTCTCCCTCCTGCTGGAACACACTCCACATATCAGCACCACTTTATGGGCCTGTACCTTCCCCTGTCAGTTCATAAAAGTTGCTGCCAAGTTCTGCTTTGGGGATGGGGCTGGCCCTGCTTTCCCTGAGGCACAGCTCAGCCACACTCACCCCCTGCAGGCACAGCACTGAGTGCTGGCAGTAAATTGGGAATCTACAGCCCACACAGGAGCCACCCTTGCCTGCCAGCACCAACAAACACTGGGAACATCTGGGGAGATTAAAGCCTGCCAGAGCCCGTGGTGAGTATGGCCACAGCATCACCTCTCTGTGCATTGCCATCAGGAATAATGGGATATCAGGTTTGCACCAACCCCTTCCTTCTCCAGACCCCTGCTATGCCGCAGCCAAGTCCCACCAAGTCATTTCCAAGCTGGCCAAGGGCAGCAGGAAAGGCCAAGGAGTGGAACCTTGAATCTGAGCTTTGATCCAGCTGCAGGATGAGCAGATAGAAGTGTGAGCCTGCTGAATGCTGCAGTGTGGTGTGGCACTGGGCCCTGGGGGCTGGAACTGCAATAGCAAGGCCAATAACAGAGCTGAGAGCACAGAAATGGCCTAACTTTGATCCCAGAATTACTGTGCAGAACAGCCAGGGCTAACGTGACCGCCAGCCAGGATGTTCTGTGCCTTTTCTCCCAGGTAAGGCACTCATGTCTCTGCAGGTCAGGTTCCCTCTTTCTCACAGAGCTCTTTTGGACCCCTCTCACCTGGCTGAGGTGTGACCACTGGAACTGCAATTCCAGAACCCTCAGGGTCTGTCCTTCCAGTCCCTGCTGTCTCCAGTGCTGAACTCAGCCCAAAGCAGGGTGTCAGCCTTACACTCCCATTTCTATGTGTGCACAAGGAACTGGAGCAGTTTCCCAGCCTGTGCTCCAGACACAGCTGGGACACACTCTGCCGGGATTTTAAGACAAGCCAAGAAACCACAAACACCTCTGTTGGTTCTGAGACCGACACCACCATCCCTGCTCCAACACCTCTCATATTCCCTCGCTGCACTTTTCTCTCCTGATTGTTCTTAGAAGGGCTGCAAGCTGACCTGGTGAGATTTTTGGCAGCCTGAGCTCAACCTGGATTTGTGGATTTGTGGAACCAAGTCTCTATTGCACCTTAGGGCTTTGCTACTGTCTCAGAGCATAAATACAGTCTCATTCCTGACTTTTCCCACTGTCTCTGCTACTGCCTCACAGCAACCACGAGCTGCAGAGCCAATTCCTAAGAAAGGCTGCTTTAAGATAAAACAAAATAAAAGATTCCCTCCTTTTAAAACAGAAGCACAAGGCCCCAAGCAAAAATATACACACAATTAAATTGATTTGTGCATGGAAATGTGGTGAGCTCATGAAAATGCAGCATATTTCTGTGCTGCCTTGGGCTTCCAACTTTATGGAAATCCACTCCAATATATTAAACCCTATTTTTCCTTTGAAAAACAAACCTCCATTATTAACTAAAGTGCCCAAACTGAATAAATATGATTGTACCATGCTAGCTGGATTGCCTATTTAAAAAAACCCCAAACTAACAGTTCATATCCATTTTATGAATATAACTGTCTTTTCAGCAGAAAAAAAGGAAAAAGACAATGGCAGAGTCTCTTATGTTGACACACACATTAATCAGCAAACATACACATTAACCAAGCGAAGTTCATGATCCAGACAGGCTTCTGCTGTCCAGGCCAAACCAAGCACGAAATAGTGACCCACATTGCGTGAGGAAATCTCACTCCTGGGCTAAATTAAATCCACAATGCTTATTAGTAGGTTGTTTTTTAAAATGAACAAAGTACACTTTCTGATGGAACGAGGTATTTCAAAATGAGAATCTGGGAAAGTCTCTTTCCTCAGGGACCAGTCCCTGCAACTTCACACAGTTGTGCCTCAGGGCTGTATTTTGTGGGCATATTGGTTCTACCAGATCAACAACTGCTGTTTCAAAAAAGAGTAATAAAACTTTCAAAACTGAAGGAGTGGGGGGACTATGAAAGACAAAATCCTGCAACCCACAGGACTTTTGAAGCATTCGATCATGGTTCATTCTCCCATTCCTTCTGACTCCAAAGGAGCTTTATTTCTGACCTTGGCAGGTGATGCCAACACTGAACACTCAGGACTATAAACCCTGGAAGGTTCACCCAGAGAACCTCTCAGTCCACTGCTCACTTTAGTATGAAGGATTTATTAAAACACACACTTCTATAGAAACATTGCATCTGGATAACTGGTGCTGGTTCTATCTTATACCTCATCCACCTGACTGGTTTCTTTTCAATTTCCATATATAACCAGGTGTAAGAAAACACCCGTTTTACCAATCCAGGCAGTGGCATGACAGAATGTGACTCCCATCATGGATTTGCTGAGAGGCTCGTAGCACTGCTGCAGCCCCTTGTGTAAGGAGCCTGCAGGGATCAAACCCTTTTCCTGCTATGATGGTGTTTACTGACACCAAACCACAAAAAGATAAATTCCAAGATCATCAGAATTAACTCCTGACAAACAATAATGAGATTCAAATCAAACACTCTTAAACATAAATCAGAGCAGAGCGAAATAGCAATAGTGAATTAACAGCAAGCTTCTTGAGGTTATTTAATACACTCAGTGAAAGTCATAAGTTGTGATATAATATTTAATTGAAATATATTTCTGTCGGGGGACACAGTAATGAGCTGTCAATGTTTTGTTTGAAAGGGATAAAGTGTGTGTTTGGTGATAGTTCAAGGAAATGGATTCACCTCCATCCAGGATGAAACTGTTAGCAGCACCTATCCCAGGCCCACCAGGACAGGTGTTGAGAGGTTCTGCCCCTCTGGGGGTTCGCTGGCCACTGCAGCTCAGAACAGGACATCCAGCCACAGATTTCATTCCAGCTGGGAACGTTTCCCAGTCTGTCCCAGCTCAGTCTGGGACAGAAGAGCTGTGTGGTCTGCAGATGGCCACCAGTGACACCCCCATGTGTTCACAGCCAGGTGACAAAGCCAATCCAGCCCCGTGAGAGCTCCCATGGAGCTCACCAACCTCAGGGAAGACTGACCAAGACTTAGGTCTCGAATATGAAAAGCACAAAACCACCACAGAGAGCTGATATTTCAGTGCCAGTTTGAGGGAAATGCTGGCGGTGGGAAGTGCTCCAGGAGACCTTCCAGACAGCCAGGCCGGGCGCTGCAGCACCATCCCAGCTCCTGAGGAGAGCAGCCAAAGGGCAGCAGCAGTGCTGGGTGAACCCAGTGCCTCCCCCTGAGCAGGGAGCACTGAGGGCTGGCTGGGCACAGAGCAGAGGTGCCCAGACACAGCCTGGGCACCACAGCAGGGCAGAGCCTTTTGTCTCTGTGTCCCTGCCACCCCTGGTCAGCAGCGCTGCGGCACCAGCTGCAGCTGCTCTCTGCTGCACAGGGAGGGAATAAGGTTTCCTTATTGCTCAACAAAAGCTGCTCTGTTGGGACACTGTGGTTGGGGTTTGTGGTGCTCCTGCTGCCAAACACCTGCATTTATTCAGACACAAGTGCAAAAGAATCATAGTTTGTGATTTGTGTTTGTTGTCAGACACCAACCCCAACAAGGCATACAGTGAAAACTGCCTGGAAACTCTGCTCCGACACTGAGTTTTGGTTTCTTCACACCCTGTACACCACGGGTAAGTGAGCAACACCAGCAGCCCCTTGAGCTCAGTGCTGGGCAATTCTGCATTAGCAAATGTACTGCAGAATGTTTGGGGGATAATCAGACCCTTTATTCAGTTCTGCTTTTTCTTTTTTATTTTTAATGTCAGTTCTGACTTGCTTCCTTTTATCTGTATAGTGACATTTTCCCCTTGTTTCTATTTGAAGTGGTGTATTTTACTTGTTTATTTTATTATTATTACAGATAACATAATCAATATCTGTATTTTAAGAAGGACAGCTTCATCTGACTTGCTCTGTTTGTTTAGGCTGAAGTTATTGGCTGGGGAACTAGCAGGAGACGTTTCAGAGTGCAGAGCAGCCAGGTGTAACCACCAGCTCACTTATGATGCCAGATCCGCATACAGGAACTCAGCAGTGCCTTCTCAAGGTCCTACACCAAAACATTGTCTTAGTTGTGGCAATGGAGCTCCTCAGGCAGTTCTGAGGATTGCCTGAGCTTGTCTGACAATCCTGAGCTTGTTTTTCCTGCAGAGCTGCTGGGACTGCAGTTGTGCTGCAGCTCACCCTGACACCACACGTGGGACACACAGAGCCAGGGGGATGCAGCTGAGGCAAGAACAGCTCTTTGAACAGCCCTGCTGCCCCTGGGCAGGGGCTGTGGCACGGTGGCACACGGGTGTGTGGTACCTGCCAGGTGTGCCACAGCCGCAGGGGGACTCGCAGCAAGAAGCCACAGCACATAAACAGATACAACTGAGAGCTGGCAAGAGCTACTCCACTCAATGGCCCTGTTCCTACAGCCTGTGAAACCAGAAAGGAACTCCAACAAGGAATGCAGCTGTGTTAGATTAGCCCTGAAAGGATTCTCTTACAAAGGCACTGGCAGAGCCATTCCATCGCTGCCATGAACCAAATCTGTATGAGCAAGCCCAGAGCTCTTAATCTGGATTTATGACTCTGCTACCAACTCCATAAACCATCTACAACATCTTGAGTGGCAGGACTAAAGTCAGCTGTGTGGGAAAGAATGTGAGTGTGTCAACTTCAATGAAAGCACGTCCACCTTGCACTGATCCTGTATCTGACTCCAGAGAACTAACTGGAGCTTGACTCGGGACACACACAGCAGATGGTACAGTTCCAGCTGCATTTTGGAAAACTGGATGATTCAGCTATTTCTCTTCTGATTTTTTTCATCTCTTCAGAGTTTTCTTGGTTCTCCTCAGGAGCTGAGTCTCAACATCCTTCAGAACCTGCAGGCTGATCCCACCTTCACTTTACACCAGCATTTTATTTAGCTGGCACAGTTCACTGCCCAGGAACTCCCAGAGCAGGTAACTCCCTTAAGAATCCTGTCTCCTGCCTGAAAGATCAGGGTGCCCGACAGCTTTTATTCTCTCTGTGTTATCAAACACAGCCCTGCTCCTTTCCAGAGGGCTCTGGGCTCCGTGGATGTGCCAGCACTGGTTATCACGATTGGAATTGCTCTCTGTGCGCGTTGCACTGCACCAGGATTTTGCTTAACCTTTGTATAACATAGTCAGTGTTTCTTTCTTTCCCCCACTGTGCCCTAAAATAACACTTTTTATGCCCAATCCCTGTCATTCTGGGGAAAAGTGTGTATGGAAAATTATTATGTTGGGAACATGTATTTAAACAGCTGCCAAAAGTACACAATTTTAAAATAGTATGAGTAAAGCAGAGCACTGTGGGGTCTGGCCAGATGAAACCTTCACTCCAATAAAGCTTATTTCATATACACAATAATTTCCCCAAATAAATAATGCCATAATGCTAATAATGTTTATAGGATGAGACTGATCTCTTCTGAATGCTGGCACAAAATTTAAATTAACTGACAAGAGGCATAATTTACCTTGAGTTCTCTTCATTAGGCATCACTGGCAGCTTCTCCTGAACTAGGAGGAATAACAATTAACTTCAGATGGAAATATGAAATCTAAATTACAGTTGCTAAATCTAAGAAGAGTAAGGAGAAGATTCTATTATAATAAGATATATTCAAATTACATACACAGCACCTTTAATTTAGGAGAGTGGGCTCGTTAGGGATGACAGAAATGTGGATAGAGTATGAAGTTTAGTATTTCCTTATATTCCTCAAACAAGCAATACAAGACTGCACCTTGTTTTCTCTCAGTGTTTATATACAGAAAATCCTAAACAGCTTCTCAGCTATTAGATACAGGTACAATTTATCACACATTCCACTGGGCCTATTTCCACCCTAAATCTTCCAAAGATCACTGCAGAGGACACCAGGACCTGTGCTTGAAACTCCAGGGGAATAACAACTTCTGCAGTTTCTCCCCCTTCCCTCTATGACGGGGATTCAAATAGCCAGGAGTGAAGTCCTCACTTTGTATTCCTTGACTCCTGGCTCTTCTTTCAGCTGGGGAGCTGCATGGCACACCTCCTGTCCTAAACCACCCTCCTGCTTAAACATTTGTTAGAATTTTGTTCAGAGATCAAATTCTCTCAGCTGGGACGTGTTTGAAGCCAAGCCTTTAAGGGGCCTTACCCCAGACATGTTTTGAAGCCATTAATGGGCCTGGGGCATTTCGTGTCCCTCCTTCTGTGAAGTGACTTGGAATGTTACCACCCAAGGATGTCCTGTAACTGACAGTTGTATTACTGTGGCAGTGCTCCACGTTCCAGAGCATCCCTTTAATCCCAGGCATTGTTCTCAGACAATTTCAAATATCTTCCATTTACATTCAGACAATGACATGTCACTGTTCTCTCACATATGGTCAGCTCACATTGAGTTATGAGATTTCATTTCTGCAGCTCACACGGGAAGTGGAATAAATGAAATAAAAACCCCTGGTAAGAACATCAGCTGGCTGATACAGAACCAGGCCCTCATAAAACCCATTATTCTGGTACAGTTAAGGGGAGGAAAGAATTTATAAGACAGACTAGATTTTTTCCAAAAGCATGTAAATAATTTATGAATTCAAGTTCTAATGGAAAGCAGGTGGGACATGAACTATAAATGGCTGCAGCTCTACAAAACTGAAATGCTCACTGAACATACCTTGGTAGGTAACCACAGAGCACTCTGCTTTAGGAAATAAAAAATCCAGAATTGTTAATCTTTGTTTTGGCAGAGGATAATTCTAGCATGTAGAATTGCATCATCATGCTGTGTTAGAAACTGCTGTAACATTTCAAATATTCTTGTCCTGCTGCTTTTCACTGTAAACCAGCAAAGAGCCAGTGAGAACATCTGGGACCAGCACACAGCATGGCAGAAACACAGGCAGAGAGACTCACACAAGTTTCAGACACATTGAATAGGAGGCCAGTATAGCAAAACCTACCATGAGCAATGTTTTCCCACTTAGAAATGCTGTTTTCAGTATTTCTGGGCACTCAGCCTCCAGGGACCCCAAGGGTATCTCTGCCCACCTCCCCCATCCTCAGTGTCTGGGGCTCAGCTCATCCCCTGTTTGCTGTCAGTGCCCTTCCCAATTCCACAAGGGTTACAGTGGGGAAAGGCTTTTCTGGCAAGAGGGAGAGATCAGCCTTTCAAAACAAAGGCTAACTGTGATTCCATTTCCAAAAGCTCCCTCTGCTCCCATCCTTTATCTTCCTTGGGCTGTCACCCGGGAAGGCTGATAATGTTTATAAGGGGCATGTGCCAGGAGCTCCTTTTGACACAGGATTTTTAAGTTACTCCCAGAGATTGTCTGATTATCCCAGGGAAGCTGTGATTTCACAGCAGGATGTTCATCAGTTTGCCATGGAAGCAGAGACACAGGTCCAGAGCAGGTCAGAGCTTAACCAAAGGCAGAGGCAGCTACAGCTGTAACCAAAGCAGCTGTGACTGACATTTTCGGGGGGGTTGAGCTGTAGTAAAAACATTCATTAACTTTCTTCTAGCAAAACCAGGGCATGGAAAGGCAATGGTGTCACCTCCTCAGGTGCTTCTTTATCCCCTGGCACCCAAACCCTTTAAATTTGGAAAGTGACCCAGCCAGGTATCACTTGTAAGTATCTTTATAATAACTAAAGCTGGGAACTCTGATTGAATCTTAACAAAGCTGTGAACATCTTCATAGATTCAAATTCCTAATCCCCTAAAATGCTGCAAGCACAGTGGCTCATTTTTAAATCCTCCAAAATTTTGGATTATTCCCTCTAATCTTCACTAAATCATATCAAAGATAATGAAAAAATATTTTGTTTTAATCACTCTTAGCAAAGTAATCTGAGAAATCTCACCCTTTAATCTCCTCATGAGTGCCAACAAGACTGCATCAGCAGAGGTTTAGTTACTGGCCAGGGGAAGCTGCAGCCAGGTCACCGTGAGTATGGAATATTTCAGTGCTTGTCTGACACCAGCAAGGGTTTTCCAGGGAGTACAAGTTCATCAGAAAAAAACACCCCAACAATCACATTTCAGTCTTGTCTCACACACACTTCCAATTTTAATCTCATTCTGCTCAGTCATCTTATGAAAGGTACAGTACATTTTCATTTATCAGCCCAGCAGTGTTAAAGGCTTCTCAAGAAACCACTATTTGTATCAGACACAGTCTAAAACAGCAAGCTGTGAGATAAAAGGTAAAATACCTTTTCCTTTTTGCTACCATCTCAACTATGAAGATTACCCAGGATATCTGACATTAAGTTATCCAAGATGTAGCAGGGCATTCCAGGAGTGTTTCAGAGCATAGGGTACACAAGACCTGGGTAGACGTAGGAATGAATATTTATAAACACTCTTGTGAATTTTGTTTTGGCTCAGCCATCAGAGCAGAACATTATTTACATAGTGAAAGTAAGCTCCTGTCTGTAAACAAAAACTAATAATCAGGGTGATAATATATGCTGAGGGCAGAGGATTTTTGTCTCAGGTAAAACAAATAAAACTCATAAACATGAGAGCACCCAACCAGTGAAAAAGAAGGAATAGTGTCACACATCACACAGTGTGAACTGTGCCCAAAGCTAAAGAACAGTTGTAAATGATGCATAAGCAGAGACAGTGTTTACCTAAAACTGTCAAGAAAAGCTTGAATAAAATATAAAGTCAAAAATCCTCTTGGTGAAGAAATTGTAAACTGTAAATGGGAAGAGCTGAAATCTCACAATGTAAGTAGTCAGGTGATGCTACACTTGGAATGTAAAAGGGCACAGGACAGTGCAGGTACACCAGGCAAACACTGCTCTGGGAGCTCAGGTGAACAGGAGGAGCTGAAGGCACAGATGTGGAGATTGCTCCTCACTCCTACACCAGGAGCTCAGGTGAGCAGGAGGAGCAGGCACAGATGTGGAGATTGCTCCTCACTCCTACACCAGGAGCTCAGGTGAGCAGGAGGAGCTGACACAGATGTGGAGATTGCTCCTCACTCCTACACCAGGAGCTCAGGTGAGCAGCAGGAGCTGAAGGCACAGATGTGGCAATTCCCCCTCGCTCTCACATCACAGCACGAGGCACAGCCTGGGCTGATGGAGGCACTGCCCTGCACTACAGGAAAGGTGGATTTTACCCTCCTGGGGAGCACAGGGCAGCCAAAGCCAGGGAGGGCAGCTGGAGCTGGAAGTTGAACACTCTCCCAGCAGTGAGTGCCACCAGCAGGGCTCCACCTTCCAGCAGAACACGCTCCCAAAGGAGCTGCATCCCAAAGGATGCACAGGACACTCCCAAAGGCCAAAGGGGGTTTTCTACAGGCAGAGACTCCAGAGCATTCACGGTGCTGTAAAATCACACAGGATAAAGAGAACAGATGTGAGACACGCTCAATGCACTGTGTGGGGGTGTGTAGTATATTATAGCCATTGGTTTGCACCATTCCCTCACCTAAATCAACAACAGCAGTGACAGAAATAATTCTTAAAGTATGAAAATAAGGAAAATGATTCTACTAGTTCTGAGCATTTCTGAATATTTTCCAGAGGAAGTCTTGCTGGACTGAAGGCCAAACTGTAACTATAACAGTAGTCTAAGACAAGAAAAACTTTAAAGTCTATGAAAACATGTGGAAATTACATCAATGCATGACTGTATTTCATAAGAATCCTCACAGAATAAATACTACTATTTCCAGTCCTCAGAAATGAAGAATGCATGTCACAATTTTCACATAAAGAAATTTAACCAAGTGTATTTTCTAGACCCTCACACATGGTAGGTAAGTGCTATTATCCCCTAAAAGATAAACATCAGGATTTGCTCTTCCACAGGACCTCTGCTTGCCAAATGCAGGCCCAGTGCTCACCATGATCTCCCCCATCAGTGAGGAAGCAGACCTACAGCAGTTAGGCTGTTTTTTCACGGGCACCTTGTTGAATTTTCCCGTGGCATTCCCGGGGCTGTCTCAGAGGGGGAGAGGAAAGCTCAGTCCGGCCAGAGCGCGCTGTCCTCGCTGGAGCCGCTGTGGATCCCCAGCTGCTCCCGGCTCCTGCTGCCTCTCTCTCAGCTGGCCTTGCACAGTTGGTACCACCTGCTCTGAATTCTCCAGCCCTTGTTATCTCTGCAGCAGCTCACGGCCTTTTCAAAAGCTAATTCACTGAAGAAAGCGGAAGGGACACTTTGTGCTTGATGTTTAAACTGTAAATTTGTTTTCCAGAAGCTCTTCAGATTGACAGTTCTGATTATGTTTTAAGAGCTCCCAGTGTGACACATTGAACTGTGGCTTCCTGCTGCTGCTGTCACTCACAGAAACCCAAACTCTGCTTTGAGTCGGAGAGCAGGGGTATAAATCCAGTGTAATGCCAAGGACATTGGGAATTACTCTGCCCACAGGTGACAGAGCTAGTCTGAGC